GGTGGGTTAAAAAAAAAAAAAAAAACGAGCCTTGATCCATACCTCACACCTGGAACAAAATTAACTTAAAATGGATCATAAGCCTTAATGTAAAACTTAAAACTATAAAACCTCTAGAAGAAAATAAGGGGAAAATTCTTTATGATCTGGGGTTAAAGAGTTTTTAGACATAACAGCAAAAACATAATTCTTAAAAGAAAAAATTGTACTTCATTAACTTTAAGAATTATGCTTTGTGAAAGACACTTGCAGAAAATAAAAAGACGAGACACATGAGCGGTGCCTATGGCTCAAAGGAGTAGGGCACTGGCCCTATATGCTGGAGGTGGTGAGTTAAAACCCAGCCCTGGCCAAAAACTGCAAAAAAAAAAAAAGACAAGGCAGAATTGGGAAAAATATTTGAAAATCATACATATGACAAAGGACTTGTATCTAGAATATATAGTCTTTAAAACTTAACAGTATGAAAATAACACAATTTAAAATTGAGCAAAAGAGCCAAACATACACTTTATCAAAGAACATAGGCAGATAGAAAATAAATACGTGGAAATGCGCCCAACATCATTAGTCATCAGGAAAATGTAAATTATACTCATGATAAAATACTACTACATATCTATTAAAATGGGTGGGGAAGAAATATCTGACAAGTGCTGTTGAGGATGTGGAAAAACTGGATCACTTATACACTGTTGGTATGCAAAATGGCACTGGCACAACCACTTTGGAAGGAAACCAGTTTTACATTTTCTTATAAAGTTAAATATATATATTTACATATCAGCTAGCAATTCCAATCCTAGGTATTAACTCAGAAGAAATGAAAACATATGCTCAAACAAAACTCTTTATTCATAACCACCAAAAACTGGAAAACTTTATTCAGTTACCAAAACCTGGAAACAACCCAAATGTTCTTCAATCCATGAATGGATAAACTATGGTATACAATGAAATGCTACTCAGCAGTGAAAAGGATATTGACATATGCAACAACATGGAGGAATTTTACTTAAATCCTTTAAAAAAGGCAAAATTTAGGCTTGGCACCCCTGGCTCAGTGAGTAGAGTGTCAGCCACATACACCAAAGGTGGTGGGTTCAAGCCCAGCCTGGGCCAGCTATACAACAACAACTGCAACCAAAAAATAATAATAATAGTGGGCAGCACCTATGGCTTAAAGGAGTAGGGCGCCAGCCCCATATACCAGAGATGGCAGGTTCAAACCCAGCCCCGGCCAAAAATTGCAAAGAAGAAAAAAATACTCAGGCATTGTGGTGGGTACCTATAGTCCCAGCTATGTGGGAAGCTGAGGCAAAAGAATCACTTAAGCCCAAGAGTTTGAAGTTGCTGTGAGCTGTGACACCACAGCACTCTACCAAGGATGATGTAGTAAGACTGTCTCAAAAAAAAAAAAAAAGGCAAAATTTATAGGGACAGAGAACAAAGTGGTACTTGTCAGTGCTTAATGTTGAAGAGAGGTATTGACTACAAAAGGATAACATAAGGTAATTTGTTAGTGGGGACAGGGGGACAATGGGACTATTCCATTTCTTGATTGTGGTAGCAGTTACATTACTCTATGCATTTGTGAAAACTTATAGACACAATCACCACAAAAAGTGAATTTAACTATAGGTAATTTTTTTAATAATTTCTTTTTAACTTTCAGCACCTTCCTGAATCTATGCCTTGTTTTTTCTTGAATATCATCAGCTGACTAAAGACTGAATAAAATGGATCTCAACCACAGTAGATTTTTTCCAAATTCAAGCATTATAAGTTAAGCCAAGTTGGGTGTGGTGGCTCACACCTGCAATCCTAGCACACTGTGAGGCTGGGGCAGGTGGATTGCTTGAGCTCAGGAGTTTGAGACTACTTTGAACAAGAGTGAAACCCCTACTTCTACTGTGCTTTTTTTTTTTTTTAGACAGAGTCTCACTATGTCACCCTCAGTAGAATGCCATGGCATCACAGCTCACAGCAACCCCAAACTCTTGGGCTTAAGTGGTTCTCTTGCCTCAGCCTCCCAAGTAGCTGGGACTACAGGTGCCCACCACAATGCCCAGCTATTTTTTCTTTTTGGTTGCAGTTGTTTAGCGGTTGTTTAGCTGGCCTGGGCCAGGTTCAAAACTGCCACCTTTGATGTATGTGGCTGGTGACATAACCACTGTGCTATGGGCACTGAGCCACCCCCACCTCTACTAAAAAGAGAAATAACTAGCCAGACATGCTGGCATGCACCTGTAGTCCCCGTTACCAGGGAGACTGAGACAAGAGGATTGCTTAAGCCCAAGAGTTTGAGGTTGCTGTGAGCTATGATGCCACAGCACTCTACCCAGGACAACAGAGTAAGACTCTGTCTCAAAAAAAAAAAAAAATGTTAAAAAAAGTTAAGGGAGGAGGGACAAGATGGCCGACTGGAGCCAGCTTTTGATAGAAGCTCCCATCCAGAGGGAAGAATAACAACCAGAAAGTACCCAATAAAGCTGAAGACTGGGAGCTGAGTTGAGAGAGAAGAGTGATAACTGCACATCACCTCTGCTGAGGCAACCTGCGACTCCAAGAAAGCAAATTTCAGGTACAAAACTCATCCCAAAGGAAGAGTGTCCATCCCCTTCCCCAGGAGAGATTTTTTTTTTTTTTTTGCTCACTGTAGGTTTTCTACAGGCAAGAAGTGAACTGAGGACCTCTTGTCTCATCCCACAAGAGAATGTTGCAGGAAGTGGGGGCTATTTCTCCAGAGGGACCCTGCTGTGACCCTGAGCACTCTCTTGCCAGGCATGAAAGTTGAACTAACGTTTTCCCTACCATTTTGAACTTCTAGTCCATCCTTCCCCCATCTCCTGACGGTCCAGAAGCCTAACCCCTGCAGAGACCAGAATGTCTGTGGTTCATTGCCACGTCCAGGCACTACAAGGGCTGTAGTAGAAAAGCTGCACTATAACAGTGAGTCCAGCAGTAGTGCAGAAAAAGCGGGGAGGGGAGGCTGTCAGGCTTGGCTCTGCAAAAGTGCAAACCAGCTACAGGAGGAGGCTTGCGAGCTGTGCTCCCCGCCCTGCCAACACCAAGTGCTCTGAGCCCAACCCTGCCAGAGCCTTGCACCCCATGCTCCACCCTGCCAGAGCCATGGCACGTCCACTCTGCCAGAGCCACGCAACACATGCCCCATCCTGCTGCTGGAGCCATGCGCCCCATGCTCCCAGAGCCAATGCTAAGGCTACCTCCCTGGCCATGGGAGCCATCTGGGAGCTGCACAAGGACATCTCCCACAAAGATTCAGCAACAGTAGAGTGATCCAGCTGGGGTCTAATCTTGGAGAGCCACCTCCTCAACTTTGAGGACTGCCAGAGGAAGCCAGACTTCGCCCTATAGGGATATCAGTGCTGCAGAGCAGCTGGGGCAAAATCGCAGTGGCTAAGGGAGAAAATAATTTGCTGACTTGTTATCCTCAGGTTCAGACTGAGCTCAGGTGGAACACTCCCCAGTTGCCATGGAGTACCCGAGGCAGGCATGCCTCAGCTTCCCCAGCCAGCTGGTGGCAGAAGGTGATTGTCAGGCCAAGGGGGCATTGAATTTCCTTTACCTCTGGCAGGCACAAAGCCCTGACACATCTGCTTATCGGAGGGAGCAGAACCACAGCCCTTTGGAGTTACCACTGACTGGGCGTGAAAGAGGTACAAGGTGGGAAAAGAGATACCAGCCCCCTGGTCCAACTCTCCTAGTGGTCGGGCCTTTCTAACTCCACAGAGCACCAGAGTAAGCCACATTTGAGCAGCCAGTAGACCTCTCCTACCTAGTTGCTGGAGACCCTTCGAATTCTCCCACTTGAGACTTGGTAATGACTGGGT